AAACCAATCATAACCACAACCTTGATTCAAAATTCAATTTAATTATCACATCGAAATAGACAACGATTTTCACAGAAAAAATTGTAATTATTTATTTAATAAAACTAATAATTTTAATTAATAAATAAAATTAAACATGATATAGAGCCAAACGACATAAACTTTACACAAATTTTAAAGATTAAAAAAACCTAATTTCAAAAAATAATCTTAAAAATCAAATTGAATCAGATATGGGTGGCTCTAATACCACTTGTTAGATCTATTCATAATCTTATTATTTATTTCGACATAGAAATCAAAAATAAAACTCTAACATAATTCCTATGAGTCGATATACTATCAACTTGTATCTCTTAAACTCATATTAGAATTCAATCAGAGAATAGAAGTGAAAGCGTACCTGGGTTTGTCATCAGGAATCACAGAAGGTTTATGGGTATTGGATCTTCCGATTTATAGAGTTCCTTTATGGCTTCTTGATTCTCCTCTGATGGGGATGAAGAGAAAATTTATGATAAGTCATTTTGTGTTGTCTACAAATGGGGACCATAACCCCTATAAATAACCTTAGGGCTATTTCAGTTTTCAATATTTTAATTTGACTCTTCATCAAATTAGATATTGACTTATGATATCTACACATTAATATTACCTTTCATGATATTTATACTTTTAGCCACAAACTTATTATTAATTAGATCATTACAACTTTGACTAATTACATAATGACCCTAACACGTGTAATATTAAAATTGTGACCAGAAAGTTCTAACATATCATACTTATAGTATAAATCTAAAATAATATCATACACAATGTTAATTGGTACTGATACAACATAAGTGTCTAACAACATCATTTTTATACATGTTTAATATATCCAAAATACATCACATGTTTTATACATGAGTACCTAAAAATATACTAAGATATATACATTGAAAACTGTCTTGAAACATCTTCGCATTGTTTTACCTTTGCCTTTATCTTACTTTGAGTTACCTGGAAAATTCAACAATATAATGGAATGGGGTAATAATCTCAGTGGATTCTCCTATCTTATGGGTCCATTAGACTCTAAGTGGTTACTAAACGCTATTCTAACTTAAGCCATTCAATTTCGTCCTACTTGTATGCATTTACACAATAGAACATAAGCTTAAGTATTTAAGGGGGTTTTCTTCTTCGTATGTAAACATATAAACTTGAGTCTACATAACTCAATAAATCATTATTTGGTAATGCAATAACAAAGTATCTTTTCCCGGTCGATCTTACGTCTAGGACTATGGACACGGGTCATGGATCTTTGTATAATGATTCGTCTATTACACTATAAATTTTGATCCTTTATGGTACTCTAACCTACCTAAAAGGTTACTCCTCGTATGTGACTTTAACTCACTTTAAGGTTTACTCTTCATATGGGACTCTAACTCACTTTGAAGTTCACTGATCATACGAGACTCTAACCCACTTTGAGGTTCACTCCTCATATGGTACTCTAACCCACCATAAGAATACAAATCAATAGTTCATCTATCTCGGTCACTACTTTACATAAGAGACGAACTCGAGATAAGCACAAAAAAGAGTTATTTTCGAATACATGATTATTCACAACAATACGTAATTATACTCATCAATCACCGCATGATTACACTCATCAATCTTATTATTGTAACATGTTCCCATACAAAGCTCATTAAATCGCAACTAGACTATCGTCCACCATCCATGCTATTCGGGCACTCTCGTAGATGAAATGATTTATCTCAAGTGAATACTCGCTCGTGGGTACACATTGAGGCACCTTTTACAATCGAGCATCAGAACCTAAGTTATTTATCATAACCTAAGTTTTTCTGTACCCATCAAATTAACCTAACTAATATTCTAGGTTTAAACTAATTAATTATCATAGGTTTTGATCAATTGTCATTCATTTCAACTCATTATGTTTCCATTATCTATGGAACATGGCACACATAATTAAATAAAAGTACAATCCATTCACAAATATCAACATGAAAATAAGTATCCTTAAGCAACATCATGAGATAGAGCTTTAGACAAACTTTTTAACGCATTAGATCGCGTCTCATTTTGAGTTACGAACTCAAGATATGTTATTTTCAGTGCAACTGAATCTCCGTATTTGTAGTCTCGTTTAACCACAGAAAAGCAAGGTCTATGCGAGGCAAGTCAGAATATACCATTTTCCCCAAATTAGTCGTCTCGCTGAGCGAGCCATCTATGGCTAAGCGTGCCTCTGTTTTCAGGACTTGTATAAATCCATTTTTAAACCATCCTATTCAACCTTTAACCACTTTAAGCCATATATCCAATCACATCCTAACATACTCAAGCATTTCATACCATAAATTTCATCATCATACAAGGATATGTAGTTAACTATGTCTACATTACTTCCAAACCTTGTGAATCTCTAACCATGACAACACAATTCATGTCATCAACATGTCATAATATCATGTAACAACAAAAACATAGTTTCATAATATGATTTACAACATGAACATCATACCATTGCAACCACAACATAATCAACCATACAAGAATCAACACCATACAACTTTAATGCATAATCTCATAACATCACCACAACATCAATACTCAACAACACAACTCAACACACAACATGACTTCAAGATATAATCTCATGACTTCGCCACAACGTCAATACTCAACAACACAACAAACATACAACATCAACATAACATATCATCATGGGTTACTAAAAATAACAAATATATAACAAGGATCATGTTTCAATCATCAATTACACCAATAAGTAAGAATTAATCAAAACCTTAAACCAAATTTCATGTAAAATTTCCCCCAAAGCTACAACTATCTAAGAAACCACCTCTTATAAAGGGAGATGATAACGAATTAGTTATGAGATGAAGTTAAATTCCTTTCTTCTTCTTCTTTGATCCAAGCTTTTCTTCTTCCTCCATGAGTTTTCTTCCTCTTTTCTTCTTCTCTTTTCTATCTCTTCTTTCCTTTACTATCTTTTGGAAACAAATGAGAAGAATGAGAATTTGATAATGATATGTAGAAAAATCCTTTGTCTTTTAGTGATATTAAATTGTGTTTTTACCATCTTACCCTTGCCAAACCCTCACAATCTCTAAAATGCCATTCTTCATAACTTTTACTAATTTTCTCTTCTTTACTAACTAGTAAGGATTAAGATATTTGATTAACCTTAATCTCTTATTAGTTCACTAATTTCTCAATTTGTCCCACTTAATAAAGAAATAAGCATTTAAGAGAATATGAGATATTACATTCTTCCCCCTTAATTGAAATTCGTCCTCGAATTTCTTCTAACAACGAGATGAAAGTAATTTTTGTATCTCCGATTTAAGCCAACCCACAATTTTGCCTTGTTGCAACTTTTTGCTCGATGCACAACTCCCCGACATACTCAAAATTCTAGCTTTTCCTCATTGTCAACCTTCTTTCTTTTGCGAATTCTCGAGACCTTCTTGGTCTAACCATACTTTTATCTCCAAACATTGACTAACTTATAACCTTTTCTACAACTTACTTATCTTGACGCGCCACTCTGAACTGCTCGATCACGAATTTTCCCAGAGTCCGCGACTTCTGATTTCTTGCACCGAGTTAAAAAAAATCCCATAATCATTGCACCTTATTCTAGTTTAATAGCTAACACTCACAAATCTTCATGTTGTTGAACACTGATCCCTTACCTACTGGTGCCGCTAATAACCCTTCTTCTATGAAATTTATCGAACGTTTATGATAGACTTCACAATTCGGATACTAATAATATTAACATACTTTACTTTGCTTACTACTACTTTCTAAAGCACTCACACACCCAATGCTTCACATCCGCACAACTTCAATAAGATATCACCCACTTGGTGCGGAAGTGTCTTACATCCATTCCTAGGAACATTCATTCCTATAGGTATGAATTTGGGGGATACTAAGAAGTAGTAACCATTCCACCTTGGCCATGAAGCTTTTAGAATGCCTACTTCTCAAGAATCGTGCTCATGACTACTTCCATACGTGGTTATGGACAACATACACGTCACTATCCATATTTTCTCCTCGGGGCGAGCCATTGGTGGGAGGAGTCATGTTTAGGTGACATACCCTTAGGCAGGCGCCTACTACAATATGGTCTCCGTGTCGTCCCATATGTACCTTTTTCAAATATATCACTACACAAGGTAATGTTGAAAATAATTTTATTTTTCTATACTTACTCTTAACAATATGTTTTAATTATTATATATTTATCAAGAAAAAAATATAAAAAGTTTTTAACAAAATAAACTCACAATTTTCTATTTAAATTAATTCTCTTAACACAATAAATAAATAAATAAATTTAGACAAATTGTCACATCCAAATCAAATAATATATCGTAGATGCACAACGCAAATTTAAAAGGATTTAATGCATATGCTCTCAGAGTGTAAAATAACATCTAATAAAAACTACCATTTATTATGTTATTAACTTTTTTTTTAATATAAACATGATTTAACGAAATATATGATCAGCAGACAATATAAAAATAATTTACACTATATATGTATCATCCTTTTTTTTTCAATTTAAAATATATTGGGACAAAATTACTTATAATTCTAGACTTTTTAAAAGTTTTTTTACAAATGTGAATTAATTAACTATTAATTAATTATTACATATTATTATAATTTTATACTTATAGGAGTAGGAGTAGTATGTATTAGTTATTGAGATAATAAACTTTTCCTAACTTTTTCCTAACTTGCATCAAAATACCAAATACTAGTAATTATTTAGACTACCAATTTATGTTTGCCAAGTTTTGGCAGGAAGACAGAAAAACAAAGTTTCCGTTGTTATTATTTCTTTGGCACTTGCGAGAAATTCCATTAATTTCAAATTTTTGGTTCTTTCCTCTGTACACTGAACAACACAATAACCGAGACTCAAAATGAAGAACCCTAGCAGAAGCAACGAAAGAACAGTAATCGAAGATAACATGCTTCTCACCATGTTTGATGCCTCTGATACCAAAGATACTAATCAAGACTCTCTCGATGAACGTAAGCTTCTCACTCCTCTTTTTCCTTTTTGAATAATAACTTCCTAATTTGTCCCCACCAACAAAATCAACGTGTTTAATCTATTTCGACTTGTGGGTAATCGGAAAAATGCAAACTTTATGGGAATTGAAAAACTATTTTGTTTATTTATGGATTCATTTGTGCAGGGTTTGCTTTTTTGGATGCAGTTCGTGCTTCTTCAATTGGGCTTGAATATGGAAAATCACCAACTTCGTAAGTCTTTTCTTCTCTAAAAGCAAGTTTTTTTTTGGCAGAAAATTTGAATTATTTTTGAAATTGTGTAGAAAAATATTTGCGGCAGTCTTCCATATGCTAAGGACTGGGAAGTCTTTAGAGTTGATTGTGGCAAGTTATAAGCTTCTGGTTGATTTAGAAAAGGTATGTGATGTTTGATGTTCAAGGCTTTTTCCTTGTCTCTTTAGTGAAACTAATACCTTCATTCTTTTTCGGCTTAGCGTTTCCCTCGTGCATATTTATCCGGTGAAGATGTTTCCATGTCACCGTCTAACTCTACACCGAAATTGATTGTGGCTGAAGAGGTATGAATGACTAAAAGTCACCTCAAACTGTTGTTTTTAGTAGTCTGCATTCGTTATATTGATTGGTAATAAGGGAAACTGGTTGAACTTGCTTTGAAATGTAAGATATTTTTCTGCTAGGCATGGTCTCCCCTTATTGTTGGCTTGGATAATGCCACTGCTGTCCGTGAAGCAGGTGACAAACAGTCCGGTGGACCTCTCGACCGTTCTGTGAGTTAGTTTCTTCACCACTCACTTAACTATATTATTTTACTATGTTTTTTGTTTTCTTTCATGTATTTGCAACAATATTTGCGTCAGTATTCACTTTTTACCTATCCCCAGCTGAGCTAAAAGAAAGTGTTATTTACCTATTTATAATATTCAGCTTCTGCAAAGTTCTCTTAAGTGTCTTTCTCTCAAATTGCAATTGATGTTGGATTTTTTTTAAAGCTCATTTTCACTCTTTATTTTTTCCACCTACCTTAGAGCTTTCATAGCCTGATTGAAGCGCTTGCCGAAACTTTAACTGAGTCCAAGATTCAAGCAACAAGCATTAAGGTTAGTCCACTAATCAACCATTTCTGAACATTCTTTTCTAGGGTTTTGTGGATACTGTTTCAACAAACCTGGTAGAGTTGAGACACGCTAGTGTTTTTGCAACCAGCGCAGAATAAAATTCCGACTGAAGTCATAATATATTAATGTCGTATACTTTTTTTAGCTATATTTTCCATTTACATATTTTAGATCCCAAGCTTCAAGCTTTCCCATGTGACTAAGTATTAATGTTAGGCTTTGGTTTGTAAAATTACAAAATTAGTGCAGTTTTTGTCAACAAAAATATATGCCTGATTGCTGTGTAATTTTCTGCAGTCCTTGCAGAACTTGTTAATCTTTCAATATCTTGTCATTGTACTTGAAGGCGATTTTCTACCTCGCAATGGTGTGTATGAAGTTGAGTGAAATTTATGCTGTTGTTGCCATTCCTCAAACTAGTAAATTCTAAGTAATTGTTCTGTTGCAGCTACCATGAACTGGAGCTTGCAGAGGGAGTCTTTGCTCAACCTGTTAATGGTAATTGGTTCACTATGAGACTTGGTGTGACTTACTAATCGGCAACTTAACCATGTTGGTTGAGATCTTATGCATCTTGATTTCACGGCCTTGATTTTTTTTTTCTTGTTGTTTCAGAAATGTATATCTGATTTAGTTTTTACAGGGATCTAGGAAAATAAACTACAAGAGTTTGATGAAAGACTGCATGAAAATTATCTGTCTACTATGCCAACTTTTTCAAAACGATCTTAGTAAAAATCTAGAAGTTGAAAAGAGTTCTGAATCTCAGTTATCCGAAAATTACCATGTTGCATTATCTCTTGATTTACTTGAAGTATTAAAGAACACACATGTCTATATGGAGAAACTTCTGGTGATGGTGAGTTCCTGAAAAATTAAATTTGTTATATTAATGCCAACTTCAATCAACTCTTCTGTGTCTGCTTACATTATGGATGATTTTAGATTATGGCCCTTGATATGTCTAGGAAGAAAGCAGATATTGAAGGCCATACTTCAAGAGTAGATAGTCCAAGGTAGTTTGTTTCTTTTAAATTTCATTTACGTTGTTGTTCCTTTCAGTTTAGTTTTCTCGTTTCTTTATATACCATGTTTTTTGATTGAAGTAAGCATTCTAGTATTTTGGTGCATTTTGTGCAGAACACCTTTAGTGGACATTGTTCTGGATGAACTGGCTTACAACAAAGATAATATTCCTCATTTTCTTAAGGTGACTCCTGAAATCTGTATCTCCTCCCTCTGCCTCCTACTGTTCATATCAACTTTTTCCCCCTCTATGTGTACAATTGTGTACGAACCTAGATAAAGTAATAGTGGCTTGGGGCTGCAATAGCGGTCACTGCATTCTATTGTTGACGGCAACTTTGAGAGTGGATGTAGATCTTCCACTATAACACATTATTGACAACATACGTAATAGTGCTATAGCCACTATTTAACCGACATTGAGTCATATTTTGAGGAAGCTTTCTTGTTGCTAATAGTTTCTTCTGCTTTTCATGAGAATGGATGTAGATCTTCAGTGAGCCTAAATGGAAGCTGGAAATAGTTGTGCAGTATTTTTGGAAATACATAACTAAGGTAATCAACAACTTTGTCTATTTGAATATTGTCATACTTTCTTTAACAATATATTTCTCCATCCCGAAAGGGACATTCCATCGGTAGGCCCAGTAGCTTTTGATAATCTGTTGACGTTTGTTTTATACAAAATTGCAGCCTGCTGCTCAAACTCGCCGATCAAATGGTTCTACTGTAGAAGCAACATTTGATGGTGTTTTGACATGTTTTTCGAACAACACTGGCACTAAGAGCATAATTAAAAAAATTGGTGCAGATGTAGTTCAGTTGCTTTTGGCTCATGGTTTTCAGGTAACCAACTGTCTTCGTTCAACAAATCAATGCATAATAACTATTGAATCAAATGACACTGCTATGGGAATGACTAGGAAATCAGTAACTGCCTAGGATGTTTTCTCTCCTGCTTTGTATTCCTTTATTTCCATTGTCTACACCAAGACACTGTAATCACCTTGATATAGGTCTGCAATTTACAGTATTGCAGTGAATTTCCATCTTTTGTTATTTTTCATCAAACTGTTTGAGAAGCTTCTTAAGTTAGTTCCTTTTTTTACTGGTTTTCAGGCTCAATTATCAATATTGTTAGAAAGAAATGGGAATGACAGCGTTGCTGGAGACGGAGAAGGGGACAGTGCTCTTATAGATTTGTGTCACGTGTTTATATCTGCTTTTGATAGTTTGAGAAGCACAGATAAGTAAGAAAACCATTTCTCAGGATTTTTAATTTTTGCATTGCTTGCTTGGTTTTGCATCTATATTTCGGTTCGTGCTATCGACATTTTTCAAGTTTATTTTCTGTCATAATGTAGGGATATGGAAATACTGTCGATTGGAAAAGAGGCACTATTTATTGCAGCAACTTCTATCTCCATGAAATCATAGGAGTGTAAATTGAAGCCTTTATTTTGTTTATTTTATTACTCATTCTTATAATTAATGCGTTGATTTCAATCAACTCATTCTTTATCAGAGTCTGAGGCTTTGTAACTTTTAGATTAAATGCATGAAATACTTTTCCATAGGGAAATCTTGTATCGTCTTTCTGAAGGATTTTGAATGGCAATACCCCAAACCGTTACAAGAGTAATTTACATGATGAGTAAATTACCATTGAAAATGATTTTAGATATTTTCATTTTTATACTAATATTGGAAATTGAGTAAAGTGAACAACTATTGCATTTATAACTGCACTAAACAAAACCAGTGTTTCAAGAACTCCATAAAAGAAAATTTTTGTAGTGAAGTCAATGAATCCAGTTATAAATGCAAGAATTGTGTAAACTATATATTTCTCTGATTTCTTACATATGCATGCTACAATCTCTTCTTTTCTCCCCATGCTTTTTCCCTCTCAGAACTTTCACTAAACTCATTTTATCTATGGCAGCTGCAAAAGCTTGAAAAAACTTCTGTTTATCCTTTGCAAAATCTTGAACCAGTGACTTGGTTCGTGTGTCTGAAGCCAAAGCCTGGTCGGACGCTAACAAACCCATCTTGTTCTGCAAGTTACTATAGTATGCATGATCAAATATAAAAGGAGTCGTGGCATCAAATGGGGCAACAATGTCTGAGTTCCCTCCAAAGTTTGGACAGTACATTCTAAGAGCCTTCAACAGTTTTGAGTTCATATCTGGATCGGGTTGACCCTTACCCCGATAATTGTAGAGCCGTGTCACGAAGCTTTTGCAATGTGCAAACCCGATTGTGTGAGCACCAGAAAGAGCAACCATGTCCTGTATAGTTAAGCCTTTTGTGTTGAATAGTTTGATGAGTTCATCGATAGTCGAGTTTGCGCGAGGGATGTTCGACCCTACCCTCGACGCCATCGATATCTTTCCATCCCATCTTCCCTTCTTCACTTGGTAATAAGGACCCCCTGCCTGTGTCACATGACACACTAAAATTAACCTCAGCACAATTAGCCATAGATAAAAAAATACTGAAAATTGGGCCTACAAAATTAAGAATCAAGTGTTGTAACTGGTGCCTAAACAAAGTAAAGTCCACAATAAGGTACAAAAGTTCTTCTGTTTTAGAGTATAACATAACAAACAGTAAATGACAACATGAAAGCAGATTCAACTTGCTTTATGCAGAACCCTTATATGAAACAGTGACTCTGCTAACTTCCAGAACTACAATTCATTTTATAGTGAGACATTTTTGTATTTTTACTATAGGAAAATACTCTTAATCCAAGACCAACTTGTCTGTGTTTCTGTTCTCTATAGTTAATTTAAAATGATTTTGGTTAATATTATTTATTTAATATGATTTTGGCTATATTGTCTTTTTGTATCTATAAAAAAATCTTTCCAAAAAATAATATACAGTTTATTGATAACTAAATTTAAACACATTTTTCTATATACCAAAAGATCATGCACCTAAATCTTTTAGAACCATTATTTAATTGGTATTTTCACAAAACTTCTATGTTATTCTTAAAAGACAGAAAACACTTCCTTTTTTCTAGAAGGCTTTTTCTTCTGTGTGCGAAGGCAATGAGTTATAGAAGCAAAGAAGATGAAGTAAGAGTAAAGGGAAAACAATTGAATTTGCACTCAAAATATATAAAGAAAAGCATATCATTGATTTCTTCCCTTTTTAAGAAATTTAAGTGGACCAAATGTGGTCAGTGGTTACATCAGATAGCAGAATAACAGCTTTCAAAACTAGGAACACTTTGTACTTGTATTGCATGTGAACTACTATCTATGATGTACTACTGGAGGGCATTATCATAGTGACCACTTTATAGAATGATAGAGCTCACCACGTTCTTGCGGCCGAGACAGTGGCCCGATTAGTGTTAATTTGACAAAAATAAGCGAAAGCTGATAATGTGGCACCAATCGGGCGAGCGTTTCAATCGTGAAACGGGTGATACTATGAGCTTCTACTTAAGAGGAGTGACAGAAAACCAGAAACTTACCAGGTGCACAAAATCTCTTGCTGCAATTGCAAGAATATCTGCACAAGACACTACATTAGGACACTTTTTCTCCACCACTTCCTTAGCCTTTTTTACAGTCTCAAAACCTTCCACTCTCAAATCTTTATTATCCTCTGCATCTTTCTCTGCCAACTCCTTGCTTCCAGGCTTTGATGCTATTAAAATTGATGCATCACAACCCTGCACTCACTCATTCATATCAGAAACCACGAAAACAGGTTCGAGGAAAACAAATCAACACTTGCATGCAAATATATATAAACCATTTTCACATTTTTGTATGCAGAAAGAGCTAGCTTACTTCTACAAAGCAATCGTGGAAGAGAAGACGAATCGTGGCAGGTCCAGAAACAGGTGACTCTTTGAATTGCTGAGAAGTGACTGAACCAACAAGCTGTTCTACCTGTGGACAAGATTTTGCATAGTAATCAACTCGAAGTTGGCGAGGTACGCGTGTTGTGTTCTTACTAAGTATTGCTAAGCATGATGAATTTTCAGTCAAAATGAAGAAAATGAAGAAAACACAGAAAGAAAATGTGAATATAAATGAACAAGTGACAGACATGAGTTTTGGAGAAAGAAAAGAAAGAGTGAGAGTGAGGAATGAGGATGGGAAATTTGTTTAATAATTAAAGGGAATCAAATCCCGTGAGTCTTATAGAAGAGGTAAATGAAGGTTGATATATTATATTTATTGGTTTCTAATGCTGAAAAAGACAGACATGCCTAAAAAAGAATTCATACTTTAGAGATTTTTTGTAGTGTGTTGAAAGTAAGACTTGAAGTTCACCTACCTGATAACAAATTTCTGACAACATGTATTTGGTTTATTCATAATGTGTTTATCTTTGGTCAAATGGAAATATAGTGTCTAAGAAATACTATACTATTATGTCACTTTGGTTATTTGTGCTTCCTCTAGATTGAGACAATTAGTGACAGCTTATCAGAGAGAAACTGTGGTTTATCACTAATTATTTTTATTATCATAAAACAGGAAAGGATTAATGAATAAGGTTATGGAAGAAGAGCATGTTTGGATTGGATTGGATTGCCATTGGAGGTGGTGCAATCAAAGTGTGCTACCATAGTTTTGGCAAAAGTTATAGTATTATTGAGGTTTAACAAAATTGCGGCAACACTTTAAAGTGTCTCGTCAAACCAACTTAATGGATAGCTGTGCATGAATATTGGATGCAACGGCACGAGTTCGAATCTGCGACATTTAATTTGTTCACTTTTATAGAGAGTGAATTTCAACAATTAGATTAATTAAAAAAACTATGATATTTGCATTTGATGAATTCCAATTCAACTAAATATGAGTCGACTGCTTGAAACCATATAGCACTTTGTGCAACTTGTATATTTTCCTTGATTTCTCCTAAATCACAAATCAAGAGGTTGTGTGACATGTACCTATTTATCTAGAGGACCATTCAAAATTTTTGATTTCACATCTAAGTGAATTGTCGACCAGTCTTAGTTGCATGCCAAGGCAACTACTAGTCAAACATTCTCCAATCTTACTACTGGTGCGTATACTTCAGAGTAGCCGACTCTTGCTCTCTGAAGAAAACCTCTAACTACAAATATCGCCTTATGTCTTATTATCAAATCATCAACATTGAGCTTCAACTTAAACGCCCATTTCACTTCAATAGCTTTTGTATGTGTTGGCAATTCGACTAACTCTCACGTGTTGTTTCTTTCAATTGCTTGTAACTCTTCGACCCTAGGTGACTTCCATTGTTTATCGTTTAAAGCTTCGCTATAGTTGATTGGTTCAACACCTGCAAGTAAGGCAAAATGAACTAATTCTCCATCTGGTGTGACTTCATTATCACCAGTCACTTCGTAGTCTTGAAGTCTTGCTGGACGAGCTCTATTTCTTTGAGGTCTTTGACTAGTACTAACTACACCATCTTCGACTTCGACTATGTCAGGCATGTCAGCAACTGCTTCGACTTTGATTGTAATATCGACAATATCTTTGATTTCGACATCATTACTTACTTCGTCAAAATCATACCTCATCAAAAGCTTGTTGATTGCATCACTAGAATTCCAATCCCAGGTAGACTTTTCATCAATCACAATATCTTGACTCATCACGATTTTGTGATATCCTACCAGAATCATAGGTTCATTTTTGTCATCAAGCTTCCTTTTTCTAGCCTCAGGAACATGCTTGTAACACATAGAGGCAAACACCTTCAAATGACTCACTGATGGTCGTTTGTCACTCAAAACTTCTTCAGGAGCCTTGTTCTTCAACTACTTGGTAGAGCACCTCTTCAAAATATAAACTGCAATGGAAATAGCTTCACCCCATAAAGATTTTGACAAATTCTTCTGCTTCAGCATGCATCTCGCCATATCTAATATGGTCATGTTTTTTCTTTCTCCTATTCCATTATGTTGAGGCATGTAAGGTGCAGTTACCTCATGATCGACATTGTGTTCTACACAAAACTCTTCAAACATCTTGGAAGTGTATTTGTCACCTTCATCTGTTCGCAAAACTTTGATCTTCTAATCACTCTGGTTTTCGACAAGCATCTTGAATCTCTTAAAGATTTCGAATACTTCATCGATTCTCTTGATTACATAGATCCACAACTTTCGAATAAACTCATCAGCAAACAAAATACACGTTTCCACCAATGACATGCTCCTCAAAAGGGCCCCATACATCTTAATATACAAATTCGAGTATGCATAAGGATCTCATTGGCATATCGAAACGAAAGACTTTCTAGATTGCTTTTCGACTAGACAACCTTCACAAAGTTTGTCGCGCATCTCCAGACTTGGTATACCAATTACCATGTCATAAGCAATCAGTTGATTGAATGATTTAAAATTCAAACGACCAAACCTCAAATGCCACATCCAACTATTCTTGTGGCCGACAACAATTTTTAGACATTGTACTTCAGTCGAACTGATCATGGTCTTGAAAGTCCTATTCTTCAACAAAGGAAATTTCAAGACCAAATTATTCCGAGTGTCGAACAGTTCAAAGGCTCCATCTTTCATAATCACTGAGAAACCTTTTTTGACCAGCTGTCTAACACTTAGTAGATTGCACTTTATTCCAGGTACATAGAGTACATATTTGACATAGCTTTTCCTCCATTGCTCCTTTGAATAACTATGTCGCCAATATCTTTTGCTTGCAACCAACTATTATCAGAAAGTTTGACCTTGCTCTTCTTCGACGAGTCTATCTCTGCTAACCACATATTTTGACCAGTCATGTGATTTGAGCAGCCCAAGTTGAGGAACCAGATCTTGGAGTCAACATGGTTATCTACAGCTGCAGTCATAACCACCATATCTTCAAAATCATTTGAATCTTGGCGTGAAAGGTTTACTCTTTCGTTTCCTTTTGTCGATCCCTTGTCTTTATTCTACCAACAATGTTTGGCCAAGTGGCCTCACTTTTCACAATTATAGCACTACACACCTTTTTTTCTTTGTCTTTCTGATAGGAGTTTCCTTATTCTCTTTTCGAGGATTCATAAGCCCTATCATATCAAACTTATGCTTTTGAGGGTTTGACCAAGACTTCTTACTCTGAGTTTTGTCTCCTATGCCTTTGAATTTGTTGGAACCATCATGCTTCTTCCAAGTATGTGCCTGCAGTGCTTGTAACCAATCTTGAACCCCTTTTCTTTCGACAATCCTAATCTCATGCGCCTCTAAATAACCAACCAAATCTTCCAGTTTTAGGATTTCAAGATTGTTGGATTCTTGAATAGCTACGATAGTGTGATTAAAGTGAGAGGTCAACGTATGCATTACCTTCTCAACTATCATCTTATCTGTTAGGTTTCACCACAATCCTTCATGAGATGGACGAGATTCTGCCCCTTCGACACATAGTCTACAATCTTTTCATCTTTTCCCATCTGCATCAATTCATATTTTCGTCGCAAAGTCTGCAATTTAACGATTTTAACTTTCTCACCTCCTCCATATTACCTGACAAGAATATCCCATGCCTCCTTCGCTGATTCAGCATGAGAAATCTTGTCAAAATTCGTCGAATCTATCGTCGATTGCAAAATGCATCCTTGCAGTATTTCTTCTTGGTCTCCTTGTTCGCGACTCTCTGAGTATCAATTACATTCTCAACAAGCTCAGGGACACCAATAATAATCACTTATAGGGTTTCATGATAGCCAAACAGAGATTGCATATGTTTTCTCCATCGGATCCAGTTCTTGCCGTCAAGAATTGGAAGAGAATTCAGAATGCCATTAGTATCATTCATCTTTGCAATGATTGATTAACAACTCACGATCCCAGAAACACGATCAGTGACATGTGATTCTTGAAAACAAGGTCAAGAATCTAATCGGAGCACTAGATACCAATTTGTTAGTGTATGAGACACTTTTAGTGAGGGGAGAGAGAGAGAGAGAGAGAGAGAGAGAGAGAGAGAGAGAGAGAGAGAGAGAGAGAGAGAGAATAAGAAAATAAAGATTAATATTATTGAATGATTATGTTACAAAACTGAGTTACAAAGTATCTATTTATATACATACACCTAAGTGACTTGACTATTAAGTAACAAATATAACAAATTAAGTAACAAACCCTAAGCCCTAATTAACTCTGGGTTGAGCCACACAACTTGAATTATATTATATCTCAATAAATTTGTCTGGCATAGAGTGTGTGCGACCGTTAGATGTGTGTACCAACGATTGAGATGGAAGAGAGGTCATGCTCCTATGTATTGTACGAGAATGAGGGTCCATATGTATGTTAGAGATTAGTATGCCTTTCTTGAATTAGGCTGGTTTTTATGGGTCATTAGCCAACTCAAAATAGTTGCTCTCAAATCTTTTCTATCAACTTTGAAGCAAATATTATTGATATAGAAATTTGTGAGGCCAATCCAAAAATTTGAATCATGGAAAGAATTTGTCCATTGAGAATATGCATTGGTGAGAAGGTATTGTATGATGACATTGAGTGAGAGTAATTGAATAGATACAAAGTCATCATTTGAAACCGACATCAAAATCTTCATTTTAGAAAAAAAGGTATTTCTGTGTCTTATTCATTCTCAAACATGACTTCTTTTATACACGCGTTAAAATCTGTGACGTTGACATCTAGAAGATAATTTCAAGAAGAATTGACCTCCACATTCTCGTTTTCCAAGACAAATTTACTTTTTATTATTGAATCAATAATTTTTACCATATCTCACTTGATGAAACGGCAAGATTTATCGATGACAAAGTACTACACTTATTTCATCTGTACATCATATCATAATTTACATACAATAATAGAGTAGAAAAAGTAGTACATTAAATTTACATATCAAGCATGCTAGTAAATGAGTGCGTCCCACCATCACCACTGTGGTGCCACCATTAAATGCAAGCCATGTGCAACCAATATAACACCACTAATTTATAAACAAATGAAGTTATTGAAACTAATTAAGTAAGCTGAACAAGTTCACCATCCCTTTGAATGAAAAAAAAGGTGAGTAAGTAGCTTTTTACTTTTATCAGGTTGGTCTTAAGTGGGAAGAGA